TTTTTTTTAATTTATACTTGTTAAAAAAAAATTCTTGCTTGCATTTTTTTATTTTTAACACTTACTTGGACTTGACGTTAATGCAATATAATAAATATATCGAGTAATGAGAGGTCAGTTGGACTCCTCGAAGATCGATAATTTTCGATAACGGTTACAGGCCACGCTGATTCGCTCCAAGATGCAACAACATTTGGATTTTGTTTTTAGCAAATGTGAATACCGGAAAAAAAATATAGAATTAAAATGTCTTAATATTTAAAATATTTATAAAATTATTTAAATATTTTTAATAAAATTTTTATATTTTGATTAATAATTTTATAGAGAGTTATAATATTATAATTATCAAACCGTTTTGATTTTTTAAATTTTATATAAAAAAGTCTATGAGATCAGAAATTGAAAAAATAAGAAACTTAATAGATTGTTTGAATTAGTTTTTTCAAAATAATTGATAATTAAGTAATAATTATTAATGTTTATCATCATTTTAAATACTCAACCTATTTAATTAAATCTAACAATTAATAATTATTTTTATTTAATTAAAATTAGCGGTTAATAATTATTTTTAATAGGTGAAAACAAACTCCCTTAAGTTGGAAGAGCAGATCCATAATTGTTAACCCCAATTATTTCACTTCCCCTTATTTTCAGAAAAGTCCAGTGTTTTGTAATTTCGTAATAGGAGTGTTTAGTAATTTGGTAATAGAAGGACTCGCACTCATTGTCAAGGGCCCTTCCCTTCCATTACTCAAGAGCTAATGTTTTAGCAGAACACTAATTTGCTTCTAGAAAATGCACTTTCTTCTCCGAATAAGCACCGTAGGATTATTGCAGAAGCACACAACAGAAGGATGACTCATTTATCTGAGATTTTTTTTTTTTTTTTTTGAAACTCTATGAAATATTTTTGAGAATTTGAAGAAGAAATACTGGCCCTGGCTCAAGTACACTAAACATACAAACTGAACACTAGCATTTGAATTTTGACGAAAATGGTTTCTTAAACAATTAAGGTTTCTGAGTCTACAAGTCCACACTGCATTGCAAGAAAAGCAGTCCTCATTCTCATTTTGCAAATTTCAAAATATCTATTTGTGCCTAAGGCGAAATTCAATTCTCACGTTTCCATACAGAAGAATATATAATAATGTACATAAATCACCTACGACGAAAAAATCGTAAATGAAAAAGTGTGACCCCTTTCACACAATCAAAATGAAGCAAAATCTGTGTTGAGATAGTTACAAGCTATATGGCGCCTTGAGTAAGAGAGTTGAAACAAAAGATCGTGCTATCACTACAGACAGGAAGAAGAAGCTCTTCAGGGGGAAAAAATTAAGGTGGTCCGTAAAAAAACTTCATCAAGTTGGAAGACCGATAAACCTTACAATTCACGAGGGAAATTGTTGATTTGTCCTTCCTCCAAAACATCTTTGCCATTTATCTTGTAAGCTATCCTTATACGCATGATTAGTGATTTCTGAAAATGAAAAAATTGTTAGAACAAAGAGTTTTACAACCAAACAATTAGACATATCAAACAACAAACTATAGCATCCATTTTCCAAGTCATGAAGTCCAGAATCAGCAATAAGAAGATACAATAAACACCATTGGCATACCTTCCCATGTTGGCTATTTGTGACACTTAAACTTTGTGTGATGGACCCATTACCAGTTGCAGGCAGAGAATTACTGCTAGCTGGATCCAAGTGTAATTGGAGAAACTGTACATTTTAAATGTCAACAAAATATCAGAACCACAATCTTAGGAAGCCAAAATCCGAGGAACCTCTACAGATTGTTGCAGAGTTCTAAATTCCACATAACAAAGAAAGGAATTAAAGCCAAAACTTTAACACAAGCAATCCACCTCACAAGGGTGAGCAATGTCCAACTATAGATTTACATGCTCTAAGACAGAACAGCGAAAAACAAAACTCAGCAGAAAACAATCTTGTCTTTTACAAAAAATAAAAAAGGATGAAGAAGAAGAATAAAACTTTTTTACCTTTGGAACTGCTGCTTGGAATAGAAAATCTGTATACACATTAGGTGACAAATTTGTGAAAGTAGCCTGGATCAGTGTTGTTTGTGGATTTCCGGGTGACTTTGCAAAGTTAAATGCTATCTTCAAGGAGCTGCTCTCATATGCGACTATAGATGGATAAGCAGTACCATTTACCTCTGTCCACACGAAAAAGAGTTATAAACACTTTGCAACACAATATCTGTTAAACAGAGTTCTAATTATTGACATGATTTTACCCTGTTTTTTTGGACTTGGGGCAAAGCCATCCAACAAATCTAACACTGGAGCAGAAGTTGCAGGTAAAGCAGCTTGTGCGGAAAGTGAAGGTGACGAGAGTCCATCTAAATTGGCAAGTAGAATTTTATTATCCTGACTAGAGGATAATATGTCAGCCGTAGATAAGTTGCTTTGGCCAGTAGTGGGTGTTCCAATAGACAAAAGATCCAGTAGAACATCTGCAGCAGCTTTTGGAGTTTGGCTTGCCCCTAGCGAGTTAAGAGAACAAATACTAGTCGATAGACAGGGACAGAAACAAACCAAAACTTTAACAAAGCACCATAACTTGCTGAGCTATTTATTTAAAGCAAATGGAACCTTGACTATACTTGTGTCAGAACAAATGGAAGCTTCCCTTTTGGACAAGGCTGAGACAGGAAAGGAAAGGCTGGCAGAAACAATTCAAGTTCTATTGCTCCCACATTAAACATGTCAAATAAAGTAAATATTTGAATAGTATAATTATCATTAACTTAAGTTTGGGATAATTGTGCCCAGCTAGATTTTAATGTGGGATGGTAAAAATGGTTTTTACAGACAAATATCAGTCAATGCCCAATTCCCACTAAAATTCAACCTATAGGAATTCACATGAATACTAAATAATGACCCTAACTACAGTTATCAGACATGGTGGTCATGTGTTGACAGCTACAATCACATTTTTGTTAAGAGAAACGATAGCATATGTGAAGCAAATAAAATATCCAAAAACTTGGATCATGAACAAACCCATTACTCTTAGAAATGCCCACCATAGCATAAATGCTGCAAAATGCAGAGGGTCTAAATAACAATTATGCAGTTAATCTTGAAATATACAATTACCATTTCTCAGGTATTTGATAAGAGGTGTGCCATAATGCAAACCAGAACTAACCTGTTGCTGCTGGAGTTGGTAGCAAATCAATACCAAGAAGATCCTGAAGAAAATCACCCCCAGAAGAGCTA